AATTATTAAATAAAACCTGATTTTTGAAATTTTGAACTTGTTATTGGATTTTTGAAAATGGAAATCTAAAAGCAGGTGTAGGTGTAGGTGTAATTTCTTCTTAATAAAATAACAATTAAAAAAAACGTACATGGAAGACGTAAAATATTTATCTTAAATAATGAAATTTGAATGTAAAAATGAGGCTAATTAAATAGCAAACATCGTGGGACATGTTGTGCGAAGTCATCGTCCACCTAACAATTATTATTTATTTGCTTATAAAATGTTTTCGCAACAAACCTTTTTTCTTAAAACGATGATTGTGGACGAGTTGTCAAATCGAAATTTTCTTCTCGAAAAAAAAAATTCATTATTATAATATTCTCGACCAAGAATATCATACCATGTAGTTTAGTCGACATTAAACAACAAAAAAATTGATATTTTTGGAGAATGAACTTGATTTTCATTAAAGTCAGGAAATGAAGATAAGAATTTATTTAATCTAATTGACATTTTTTTTCCATTTAAAAATGATGATGTGCAATTATTTCATTTTAATTAAATCCTTAAATTTTAAGTTAAAAACATAATTGACATTAGAGATTGTTTTTTTATGTGATTGAGGTTTTTCTTTCTTTCTTTGTAGTATGTACTGTCGGTAAGTTGGAATTTTCTTGTAATAATATTTTTTTCCAAAAATCAGGATTAGCCTCCTCAATTTTTTACGAGATCAAGTTCTAGGTCCTCCAACGTCCAGAAGTGAACCTCTCACTCGTTAGCTCTAAATTCGTTATTTCGAGTCTCCATGTAACTGAACTTGTAAATGTTGACGTTAAAAGTGGACTGGAAGATGAAATCATCAAACCAGTCTTACATTTGCGCACGATTTTAATATTCACATTGACGATTTTATTTACGTTAGAATTCAAAATTTCTTATTTAGGCTGAGAAATAGAATCTCACTTTTAAACGTCTCTATACTTTTTTACTAAGCACTACACATGTGGGCACGTAGTTTTGTTGGGAAGTTATATATACAATTATTGGCAGCTAATTATTGGCCTCCATTATTTCACTTTATAGTGGGAGATATAATAATTTTTTTTTTTTACAATGTGGGATTAAAAAAAGGGAAAAAAAATTGGATTTACGCGTAAATTATATTATTGAAAAATGTGTTATTGATAAAAAAAAAAAAGAATAAATTATAATTTAATTGAAATGACGGGGCAAAAAATGGGGGCTAAATTCAATCAATAAATTTATTTGTACAAAATTGAGTTACGAAAGTTGGATTACAAAGTGTGTTGGCAAAATCCAAATCATTGATTTCAACTGATTTAAAAATTTGTTTTTAAAATTATTGATGTACGTGTTATTTTGTCAATCAACTTTGTAATCCAACTTTGCACAGCATAACTCAAATAACTCAAATTCAATTCTGTGGTCCTTAGGTAGGTACGTAGGTAGGTAGGGAGGAGGGGGGTGACTCTCTCTCTGTTCACAGGAGGTAATGAGGATGAAGAATGAGACTGGTTTGGTGGGTGATGAAAAAAAAAATCTGCTGGCTCAGTCACCGTGTTGTTTTTAGCTAAAGACAGTCTGTATCCAAATCTTTGCACTTCTTATAGTGAGCCCTCTAAACCAACGCCAACGGAGTAGAAAGTTTTTAGGGTGGGAGAATTTTAGAGAGAGAAAATGGAGAACAATGAGGGAAAAATTATGGAAATTGATGAAAAAACATCAGTGATCAACCTGAGTTCAACTACAAGGGTATCAAGGCCATGCCATTCATCATAGGTTTGAACAAAGATTCTTCTTTTTCTTTCATTTCCTCTTATTTCTTAGTCCCAGATAGGAATTCTTTCGTGTGAGTTCCCTAGGCAAGTTCTGGAGCACTGTATTCTTTTTTTCTTTTTCTGTTCTTTCATTTCCTCGTAGTTGAAGTCGACCACTCTTCCTCGTGTGAGATCCCTCGAGTTGGTCCAAGCAAAGGACACCTTTGGGGTGTTCAGAGTCACGGATCGATCATAAAACCTTGTATTCTTTTTCTTTTCGACAATTCTTTAACAATTTTTGTGTTGTTTGAATGAAGGGAATGAGACATTCGAGAAGCTCGGGGCCATTGGTACACTGTCCAATCTTCAGGTGTATTTAACTACGGTTTTCAACATGTCACGCATCAACGCGACAACTCTTCTTAACATCTTCAATGGCACCACAAATTTTGCTACCTTGTTGGGAGCTTATCTATCTGACACTTATCTTGGCCGATACAAAACGTTGGGATATGCTTCAGTCTCTTCATTCCTGGTTTGTACCCTTGAAAACTTCAACCATGACATTCGGTAAAAATAGAAGAATTCTCTATATGAATTAAGATTTTTCTTTTCTTGTGCAGGGATTGCTGTTTATAACTCTAACAGCAGTATTTAAGAAGTTACATCCACCCCATTGCGGAGCGGACGATAGTAAATGCATCGGTCCAGACGCAGGACAAATGGCGTTTCTATGGCTCGGTTTTGGCCTAATGATAATCGGGGCAGGTGGTATCCGACCGTGTAACTTAGCATTCGGGGCCGATCAATTCAACCCCAATACCGAATCTGGGAAGAGGGGTATCAACAGTTTCTTCAACTGGTACTTTTTCACGATAACATTCGCACAGATGGTGTCAGTAACACTCGTGGTTTACGTACAATCTGATGTGAGCTGGTCTATAGGATTAGCAATTCCGAGTATTTTTATGTTTTTATCATGTGTTCTGTTCTTCATGGGTACTAAAATTTATGTGAAAGTGAAGCCAGAGGGCAGTCCCTTTACTAGTATAGTTCGAGTATCGGTAGTTGCATTCAAGAAGAGGAGGCTGAAATTACCACCACAGCCTTGGCTCAGCCTATTCAATTGTACACCTTCGAAATCCATCAATTCCAAGCTTCCTCACACTGAGCAGTTCAGGTATATTGTGTTTTTTCAGTATAATTTGATTCAAAACTCTAGTTAAATCATGTTTAGATGAATCTTGATTGATAATAATGAGCATAACGATATGTTTGGTACACATTACTAATCATTACAGAAACTTCAACTTATTTTTATTCTTTAACGCTCTTACGTGCTGAACTATTCGCCTACCAAACGAGTCTAGAGCGTTAGACGTGGCTGACTACTTAGATAAGTAAGGACAAACTGCCTGTAATTATGGAGATTTTCCCTAAAAATCTCATTTTCAATGTCCATATGATCAACGGAATCTTGAACCAATTGCAACTCAAAT